TTGTGGATTGCTTCTTCAATTTCCAGAAAATGAGGCTACTGCTAAGAAAAGAGCACACTCTCATGGAAGATTTTTTGTTGGATTGATCTCTTGCCCAGTCAACATCCAAATAAGATCTGAGTTGTAGTTTTTCTGATTGAATTTTCATACCAAAGTGGTCGATGCCCTTCAAATATCAAAGAAGATGAATAAGTTGCTCATAGTGAGTTGTGGTCGGCAAATGCATGTGCTTGCATAGTCGATTAACTACATATTAGATGTTTGATCTGGATAACGTCAGGTACTAAAGGGAACCAATCAGTTGTTTGCAGAGAGTCAGGTTGTGGAATGGAGTACTTAATGTTGTTGAGAGTTGTTGCTTCAATTGTGTAGGTGTGTTTATGTGTTTGGAGTCCCGTATTCCTATAGTATAAAAATGTTGGAGAACATATCTTTACGGAATTAGGAAGTAGTGGTTTGCTGATTTCTAACTTTGTACCCAAGGATCATCCGATTGAACTATGATGTTTTAGCTGTAATCTTGAGGCCAGTCTATCAATGAGTTGGCATATTAAGTTGGGTTTGTTTTTTGTGATGAGAATATCATCAACATAGATATGAACAAAGATTTAGCATTACTCTTATGATAAAGGAGTAGAGATGGATCAACCTTGCTGATATGAAAACCACTTACAATGATAAAGGAAAAAAAAGGTGATTAAGCATTGTCAGGGAGCTTGTTTGAGTTCATATAGAGATTTCTTAAGTAGACATACATGTTTGGGAAATTGGGAGTCATGGAACCTGGGTGATTTTTTCATGTAGACCATTTCATTGAGTGTTCCATGTAGAAATGCATTGGAGAAGTCAAATTGAAGAATGTTCCAGTTGTGATGAAGAACAATCATAAGAAGTGTGTGAATAGTGGAAAGTTTGGCCACTGACTAAAGGTTTCATGATAATTTATTCCCATCACTTTCCTTTGACTTTGGGCAACAAATCTTTCCTTGCATATTTTTACCATGCCTTCTGACTTCACTTTGGTAGTGTATTTTCATCAAGAGACTAAAACGGGCTGATTTGGTGGGGGGCAGTCCATCATCCATGTTCCTTGCTGCTGAAGAGCATTGAATTCTATCATAACATGTCTCCAATGAGGATTTAAGATGGCCTGAGTATAACAAGTAGGATTGACTGTGTGTTGAATTTGGTATGAAAAATTGAGTTTCTAGAGGTTTGAAATTTCTCATCTTGCATCTATTTAATGGGATGGGGTGGTGGATTGTCATGGGAGAGGAGAGGCTATAATAATGAATGTATAATTTGGAGAAGATTAAGTACCAATAGGCGTTAAAGATATATGCTATAGTGTTGGTAGGTTGGTAGGAGGATTATGTGATGTAGGAGATAATTATGTGGTAGGTATCAGCAGAAATTGTGGAATAATTAGATTATGTTGTTGCTGCGATATATGAGGAGGTGAAGATTTTTGGATTTTGGGAAACGTTTGTTCATCAAATACCATGTCTTGAAACAATGAATTTGTTTGTAATGGAGTTGTAGCATTTGTAACCTTTACGCTATAGATAATACTCCAGGAATATGCATGGATAGATCTATGTTCAAATTTATGCGAGTTTTGAGGTTTTACTCAATGGATAGCAATAGCATCCAAACACCCTATGATGGTTGTAGGATGGTTGGAATTTGTGGAGATGCTCTTAAGGGGATATGATGAGTGGATCAAGTTGACATTCAATTAAATAAGTGAAAAATAGTTTGAAGGCTGTCGGTCCAAATTATGCAGGGTAGATGGGCTTGACGTAAGAGAGCACAAGTCATCTCAATGAGGTGTCAATGCTCTTTTTCCATGACCCTATTTTGATCAGGTGTGTAAGGACATGAGCATTGGTGTAGAATTCCATGCTAATTGAGGAATTATTTGAGGTAATGATGTTATACTTTCCGCCACCTTCAAGGCCAAGAATTTTAATTTTGATGTTGAATTCATGTTGTAGTAAACAAATTAATGTTTGTGTGATTTGAGTTGTCTAAGATTTGTTACACATAAGAATGACCCCAAAAAACTTAGAAAAGTCGTCGACATAAGGAATGTAGTATTTATAACCTTGATAACAGGTAATTTGGGAGGGAACCCATACATCTCTATGAATGAGTTATAGTAGTTTATATTTTTCACCTATAGTAGATACAAATGGTTGTTTGTGATTTGTGGTAAGGTTGCAAGTGTTGAAGGAGATTGGAATGGATGGGATCCAATCCAAGCCGCTTAAGCATAAACAAGACAAAGACATTCAAGCCAACCATCATAAAAAGCCAACACAAGGGAAGGTCTAGCCCCTCAAAATCTCTAATCATACCAGGGGTATCAAGAATCTCCCACATCTATTATCAGGTCAAAAACCATACTAACTCAATCGAATGAGTTAGTCCTGTCAACCAGAAGTCAATCGATCACAACCGATCAATAATTAAGCCAGCCAATCAAACTGAAGCCGATGCCATACGAGTTCACCTGAACGAGTCAAATAACAATCGGGTGATATATTCTCACCTGTAAAAGACCAAAAATATCATGTACAACCTCAATTAAAACAGAGACAAAAATATAACATCATCATATATTACTTACTCCTCTATAAATAAAAAAGGTCATTTCATGAACAAATTATACACAAATTTAGCCAAAAATTATTTATTATTGTTCACTCTTCTCCTATATCTCTCTATCTCATTTCTTCTCCTATATTTCTTAGGGTGCAATTCACGGATAAATTAGAATTCCACAAGTAAGAATAATTCTAAATATGTGATAACTTTATCTACAAAAAAAAATTACATATTGATCATTTCCTTTTTATATCAAAAGAAAAAATAATGAAAGTTATTTAAATTACAAGGTAACGCCGACCGCGACAATGCACCGAAAAAGAATTAGCCTCAATCCATTTTCCTCGGTACGCGTGTCCACTCTCACTTCAAGTATCCTCAACGTGCCGCTCTCGCAATCCTCCGCTCATTCGGCAAACAGGCGAGACAGGGGGCCACAGCCTGGGACCGATCGAGATATTTGACCTCCTCTCTCGACTTCATTCTTCAGTATTTATTGGAACGAGGGTGGTGGTGATCACTGTATTTTCGAAGTCGAGTTATGGAGGAGAGATACGAGCCTCTGAAGGAATTAGGAGCAGGGAACTTCGGTGTCGCAAGGCTCGTCAGGGACAAGAAGACCAAGGAACTCGTGGCCGTGAAGTACATCGAGAGGGGGAAGAAGGTACTGGATTAATTTTTCTTTAGAACGTTTTAATCCGAGATCTTTTTCTGTTTTTTTTTTTTCTTGAGCAGCATTAATGTCTTTTGTTTGGATTTTGTTTCTGTTTTTGGTATTCTATTGTCAGTGTAGTAGGAGGGGAAAAAGTTTTCCGGGATATGCCATTCGTCTGTTTAAAGCTGGTGAATTGGAATTTGGGTTTTGCTTGGAGTCATGGCTCTGCGTTTTGTGTTGTTTTTTCTCTAAGTTGTCTTAGTTCTTCGAAGAGGTGGAACGGGTGGTCTTTTTGATTAAATACTCGATGTTTTAATGTTAAGTTGAAGCTTCTGGACTATTGCAATTAACTGTAGTTTGTTTTGATGCTTTAATTTATTATGGTTTTGGGTGCTGAGTCTGATTTGTATTTTTGGGTTGAGAGATTTTTCTCTGGCAATTTTCTTCTTATTTTACTTATGATGCTGCTCGTTTGAACTTAAACTACTTTAAGCCGAGATTGAACTCCACTCTCTGCATTTTATTGTTATTGTTGATGTACTTAAATTAAATTTGTTTATTGTTGATCAAATTATTTCATTCAGATTGATGAAAATGTTCAGCGAGAAATTATTAATCATCGATCTTTGCGGCACCCGAACATTATTCGGTTTAGAGAGGTAAGAGTGCGATACTGCTCTTCCATGATTTTGCTTTTACTTTCTTCCCTTTTATTCAAAATTGATATTAGGTTTGTTTCTTTTATAATGTCATGCACTGCCTAGCCAATTGTTGTATTGTGATTTTGTTGTTCCAAAAATCAAATTACAGCCCATAATAATGTATCCCAATAGGAATATCTTCATAATTCATTACATAAACTAACAATTATAATAATTTTTTTTTTCATTTTGGGTACTTCGGTCTCCATATGAAGATTTAAACATATGGCATAGAGTAGAACCGGCTGTATATCATAAAAAGCTTAACTCTGCATATTGGTGGTTCTTGCTTTAGTAGGGATATTTGATATGGTTTGAAATGTTCAGGAGTGCAATATCTCCTTCAAATTTTTGTTTAGTATTGAGGAGTTTATCTTATAGTTTAACTACCAAAATATTTGAATATATGGCTGTCTAAGCAAGAGATTCTGTAATAGTCACTTCCATATAGTTACTAGAACAAATTCATGGTCTTTTGGAGGAGTTTAGTTCAAGTTTGCAATTCTTTTCACAGTCAAAATATGGCACATTTTATATGAAGTGTAGGGATTTAACTAGTGAATTTTTTTATCTACATATCATGAAGTACGCTAAAGATGCAAGGAATTGTTGAGCTGTTTTCACAAGTGACCTTATCATGCACCTTTTATAGAATAATAGTAAAAAGTCTGCCAATTTTTATTTTAAACATTATCTTAGTTTTTTTGTATTCATTATTTTGACATGGTACAAAGTTTGGCTTCTCTTAATTACACAAAATGTGCATTCTTCAAAATTCTAACCTAATTACAGGGATAAAGAAAAGAAGATGCCAAAGGGGTTGTGCTACAATTAATGCTTTTATAGATTCATTAATTTTGAATGCTTGAAAGGGAACTAGAAATTTAAAATTCCATCCATCTGGTCAAAATTCAAGGTGTATGATTCATCATTATTGATATTAAATTCAATTGATTTTTTTTTAAATTAAAATTTTTGTAGATGTAGACATTAATGTAGACATATTGTATATGTTTTGTTTTTTTGCTATTAGAAGTGATAGAATATGGGAAGATGGAGTTAAAGCAAATTGGTCAAAGATGGGCCTTTTTATCAGTTTGATAAAAATGAGACAGCTAGAAATTTTTTAAACTTCAATAGAGGAGGAGAACCACTGAAGTAGAGAGAAGAAAGTATTAAAGATGTTGAATGAATGAACACTTTCAAGAGGAGAGAGACAGGGAGACTAGAGACAAAGCTACTAACTGAAACCCTATAAAGGGGAGAATCCATAGAAGGGAGCTTACAAGAAGCTTTACATCTCAGTTCATGATGTCAAATTCTCTAATACATGAATTGAACTCGTTTTATTAACTTAATACTTAAATACATGTCTAAAACAAGTTGATTGTAAAAAAAAGGAAATAATATATCTAAAACTTGTTTAAAACAAGCTAAAACTAAATAAACATATATCAAATAGTATCATGCATCATAATGTATGCTTACTAGCTAGAAACATTTTACAGCAATATTTAATATGTATGACTTGACTTTAAGTTATAATTTGACCGCCAATGTCTTGTTACTTTTCTTCTCATCTATAATTTATTTTCACACATAATTTGGATAGTTTTTCAGATATTTAAATTGATTTTTTTTTTGAAGATATTATTTGAGATGAAATCATGTCTGATACTTTATGGTGGATCTTATAGATATCTTTTATGGTGAACACATCTTTTTATATATGATGATTTATTAGTTTCTTTATAGGAAGTGTTGCAATTAAGTTCAGATATGCCATGTTTTAGTTGAATAACTTGTGAAGCTCAATTTTTTAATGTTTGGCAGACTATTTTGAAACTTATTATTGAAGCCTTTATTAACCAGTTGATAACTAAATTTTCAAATAATTTCCGCATTGTCTTTTCAAATGAGTAATTCAAACACTAATTAACATTTATCGAGCAGAACCTTAATTCAAACTTTTCAACCGACTACGAAGGCTTTGTCCTAGTGTCAAAACATTCATTCAGATTCCCCGTGGGATTTTCTTACTAAATAATCAAGGGTATGAATAATAACAAATTGATTAAGAAAATTCACACTGATCATGGCTCCCTCTTTTAATCTTCTGATATTACCAAAGTAGCTATTGTCTAGTTCCCTTATTTACATAATATTAACCATAATTCAGCCATTCCTCTCAGCCTCATATACTAATTGGGTTTATTTTTCTTTTGTATTGTTTTGAGCTTCTTATTGCTGACTTTTTGGATATTGTGATTAAAGAGGCTCTCTTCAATGTTAATTAGGACAAACTCCTTATTCCTTATTTGTAAATTCTTTACTCAAACATGGTATGTGGTGGCCATAATTTATCCTTATGGCTTCACTTTTAAGTTCTTTACTCAAACTTGTAAGTTAGTGGGTGGAGGCTTGCATTGTGGATTTTTTTCTCTTTTTACTCAAACTTGTAAGTTCTTTTGTTATGCAGTGGGTGGAGGCTTGCATTGTGGATTTTTTTCTCTATTGTTGTTAATAGTGAGATCAAATGAAACTTTAATTATTTTGGTAGGCGAAGTCTAGGATTTCCTCCTCTTTCTTTTCTTTGGATAGCGACTATGGAATTGCCTTTGCTATATATTTTTCTTTTGTTTGGATAGCGACTATGGAATTGCCTTTGCTATATATTGGATGTTAAGGTTATTAAGTGATTTTAAACCTTTTTATTCTAATCAATTATATATTAGCCATGTTCTCTATCTCGACGACCTTCTAATTCTCAAACATTTCGATGATACGACTTTTCAATGTTTTTATAGCAACCTTCAACCTTTTGCTAACTATGGGTTTTAATGCTAGAATACTTTGTATCCAACCTCGCCACTTTTATCATTGGTTGTCTTGGTATTCTCCTAAGCTGGTGGAATGTTAGTGAAATGTTTTTCATTGTATATTTGATAAACTTAATAACTGGATGAAAATAACAATTATTCTTTATGTATAGTTGGTTTCAATTATTAAATCATACAACAATAAAAACAACAAGCCTTTATCCTCCTACGTGGGGTCGAGATCTATTTAATTCATATGCTTTGAATTATTTATCTTATTGGTTTAGATCCATGTTTCTCCCTAACGCGTCTTCAAAAATTCACTATACATTTTTTCTCCATTTTTTTTTAATTTGATTGGGGCAATTTTAAGGTCACTATATATCTTGGCACAAAAGTACCTTCCTTAGAGCTAAGGGTGGCTTTAGTCTTTCTTTTATCTCAACCGTTAACACCACATGTAAAATGCAATTGTGGAGACTGATCAATTCTTATAACATATTTTTATTATGGTGTAATTGCTACTATGGTTCATTAGTGATAAAAGTGTTGGGAGAGTTTCTACTACTTAAAGTTACAACCCATTATCACTTGAATGACCTCAATATACATTTTAGGGGTCAAATCGTTCAAATGTAAGACAAATGATGAACAACAAATATGATGATTCATAGATAGCTAATTCGCACACCGTCGAATTTGCTCAAATGATCTCCATTTGTAAAATGAATCACACGAGCGCTTATGGAGAAGTTGGCATAGTAAAAATGGTAGGTCGTTAATGTGACGCCCGCAATTTGGATTTGAATCTTCCAACCATCGTCGAAGTCACCCAAATGATATCCGTTGGCAAAATAGACTGTGTCAATCGACTTTTTTTTTAAGGCATCTATTTTGTTTGGTATTTGCATTTAATTTACCTACACATTAATCGAAAACAAAAAAAATTAAAAATAAGAATAGTAATTAATATAATTAAAACATCCTCAAATTCCTCAAAATCACCGTCTATCCCTGCCTAACCCATGTGTTACCCATGCATTTGTCGCTCAACTTCTCTAATCAAAATTCATCCTCACATTAAATAATAAAAAAAAAATTAAAAAAATCCCACAACCATACTCTTCCCATGCTCTCCTACCCAATCCCATTTTCCCAAATAAGCTACTCCCTCTCTCTCAAGCTCACCTCATTGGCCCTTCCCAAAAATGCACAACACCTCATCTTTCACACCCTACTTCTACTTGAAAAGCCCAGTTGTACAAATCCTCTTCCCCCTCACATGAAAACAACCATTCTTTCATTCCTCTCTCTCACCCAATCTAGCAGATCGAAAACCTTATCTTACTGTTTTTCGCATGCCAAGCCTACCACTGCTCTGACAGGACTGCCCCTCTCTGCTCCCAACTCTGCTCAGACACTATCTCTTCTATGCCTCACCAACCCACCAACCCACTGCCCTAGGCTTCCTCACTTGTGTAGTCTTCCCTTTTCTAACCCCTGCTCAGGCATGTGAAATCCAACTTCTCCCTCTTTTCTCTTAGTAGCTACACTCACTGCCTGCCGACGAACTTTCCCACTGAGCACCTCCCAACTCTGTGTCCAAGCTTACTGTGGAGTATCTTCTCTCACCAGTAGCAAATCCACCTACAACTACCACCCTTCCTCGTTAATCACTAATCATACATCCCTGTCATAGACCTCCAATTAATCTGATGCCCTCACAACAACTTTATGCTGAAAACACCTCTACTCAATTCTTCTGTCAACCACCTTTCCCAGCAACATCTCGCTTCCATCTTCTCACTGTTCTCTTGACAACTTATAGATGTTCCCCTAAGCCTAGAAGTTTGCATTAGCTATCGACGTCTCTCCCTTATTTCCCAATCCTTTTAGCTCGCCGAAACCTCCAATTACCTAGCTCATGCTACAATAATCTTCACATCCTGATGATCTTCCTACACATAGCAAACCCCACAACTCTAACCTCAAGCCCAATCCACAAGCTTTTCTTTCTTTTTTCTTATGCCATAATAACAACATCCCTCCCTTAAAAGAAGTAAAATCAGAGAAAATAAAAATGTAAGTTGAAAAGCCTGTCTGTTATTTTTAAAATTTGTGCAAGACCTATTCGCCAGCGTCAAATTTGTGTGGAAGGTATAATGCAAATATGTGAGCCAAAAATTAAGTTCAACTTCAATTCCTTTATTTTTTTGATTAATTTTAAGATTATGAAAATTTCATTTATGCTTAATTTGAGTTTTATTAAGCTTTTTTAATTGTTGTTTAGACTCAATTTAAGTTTTGTCTGAAGTCCCTTGTCAGTCAAAGTTTTAACAAAATTTTGAAAGCATTTTGGCGTCCCCTTTTATGTAGGGAGGTAGATAGTCGAAATGGGTCTGTTCACTTTGCGAAGAACAGTATGTATGGGTGGCTTGCAACACGATCTTAAAGTGGTATATCCTGCTACCTAAATAATTACTTGTGCGGTCTTCAAACTTGCAAAATCAAAGATCAGCATTATATTTCCCCACTACGTCAAGAAAGACACGTATGAGTATTTATATCGGTGGCCCCCACCATACTAAGAATAGCGTGCATTAGTTTTCTACCTACAAGAAAACACAAATAAACACATCATTTTCTCACTGCAACGAGAAAGACATGTATGGGACTTAATTTTTTTGTCCCACATGTTTACATCATATCTTTTACATAATATTTGACAATGACATATAAGGCTTGTACAAATTTTCATCGGAAGAACACAAATACTTTTTTGGTTTTTACTTGTTTTCTATTACTTTTTTTTTTTTTGAAAGGGAGTTATGTTGTAGCTGTTATGGCTTAAGGAAAAATATGGGAAAGCTTGCGGATTGGGCTTCAAGACAAAGCTACGAGCTTTGTTGTGCGTAGAAAGATCAGCGGGATGTGAGAGTTTTCGTGGTTGGAGCTTGGTGGTTTCGATGAGCTGGAGGGATTAGGAAATGTGGAGAGAGACGTCAACAATTTATGTAGATCGACAGGTTCAAGGGAACTCAAATGAGTTGCTTTGAGGACACTAAGAAGATGAAGAGGGGTTGTTACAGGAGAGGTGGTAGACAAAATAGCTGAGGATGGGGTTTATGAACGTGACGTGATTGCTATGATGAGATCGGGTTAGTCGGAGGTTTACGACTCTGGTTGGTTTTTAACGGCAAAGGGTGACGAGCACAGGCATGTTTGCTACAAGTGAGGCAGTTAGTCTGCAACAAGCATGGACACGAAGCTGAGAGGCGTTTAGCGAGAAAGTTCACCGGTTTGAAAGTTAGTGTAGTTGTTGGGAGGGAAGAGAGAGGAGATGGGTTTTATGTGGTTGAGTGGGGGTTAGAGAAGGGCAGGCTACTCAAGTGAGGAAAGTTGAGGGTAGTGGGTTGGTGGGCTGCTGAGATGTGGAAGTGGCAGCGAGTGATAAAAACTGTAAGCAGAGAGGGGCAGCTCATCGGAGTGGTGGAAGACTTGGGGTGCGAAAAATAGTCAGATGGTGTTTCGGTCTACTAGATCAAGAAAGAGAGAGTAATGAAAGAAGAGTTATTTTTGCATGAGGGAGATGAGGTCTTTCACAGTTGTACTTTTCGGGTTGTAATAGGTTGTGAAGGAGGTGTTGTGGATTTTTGGAAAGGCCAATGATGTGAGCCTGATAGAGAGGGAGTGGTGTATGGGGAAAATTAGATTAGCTAGGAGAGCATGAGTTTGAGATTTTTTTTATTATGATTTTAGTTTTTTAGTGTGAGGTGGCGAATTTTGATTAAAGGGGTTGGGAGATAAAGGCACACGAGTTAGACAGGGATAGGCGGTGGTTTTGGAAGAAATTAGAGGTTTTTTAATTATATCAAAATTTTTTTTTTAAATTCTAGATTAACGTGCCGTCAATTTGTGTGCAAATACTCAATAATATAGGTACCCTTAGGAAAAGTCGACATCATGAGCGCGTTCGCACGATCTATTTTGCTATCGAGGTCATTTGGGTGACTTCGGCGATGGTTGAGTATCGACAATCTACAGCTTTCATCGTGCTCACTCATTTAGATCATAGAAAACCCTTTAAGAAATTTTGACCCTCCGGATGCGCTAGTGCGATCTGTTTTAAAAAGGAGATCATTTGAGCAAATTAAATTTTGGCAAAGTGGGTTAACTTTTATTTGTAAATCATCTTATTCATTGTTCACAATGCGTCTCATGTGGTCAAATATTAAATGTAGATTGAGGTCAATAGTGATGTGTAAAGAGTTTCACTACAAGTGAGAGCAATAAAACATAAAGCACAATATTGAATGATTTACTCAACAAAATAGCATAAAATCATTAGAATAAGGGTCACGACTTTAACAATTAAGTATAAATAAGAATAAAATAATATGAAATCAATGCATTTAGACTATAAATTTTTGGACAATATATTTTTAGGTGATTTGATACCCAATTGACTTACATCCTCACATAATTTCTACATGGATTTGGATTATACTGTTGTACTTGCAAACATATGCCCAACTCTTTTCTCCCTTAAGTTGGTTGATAAATCCTTCAACCAGCAGGATTTGAGGGTTGTCGAGGCAGGAGCTACGTGGTTGGGGGTCTCACGAGCTAGAGGGATTGAAAATTTTGGGAGATACATCGACAACTAATGTAGATCGTCAGGTTTAGGGGAATTTAGATGACTGTTGGGAGAACACTGAGAACATGGAGGTGGGTTGTCGGAAGATGTGGTTGACAAAAGAGCTGAAGATAGGGGTTTTCAGCACGAAGTGGCTTCAATGAGGGGATTGGGTTAGTTGGAGGTCTACGGCTCCGGTTGGTGATTAGCGGCAAAGCATGTTAGCCGGTGGCAAATTTGTCGCTGGTGAGGGAAGATATTATGCAACAATATAGGACACAGTGTTGGGAGGCGTTAGGCAGGAAATTTTGTCGGCGGGAAATTGAGTGTAGTTTTTTGGAGGAAAGAGGGAGGATATGGGTTTCGTGCAGTTGAGTGGGTGTTAGAGAAGGGAAGGCTACTCAAGTGAGGAAGCTCGAGACAATGGGTTGGTGAGATGTGGAATTGACAATGATTGAGGAGAGCTGGAAGCAGAGAGGGACAGTCTTGTTGGAGCAGGGGAAGGCTTGGGGTGTCAAAAATAGTGAGATAGAGGTTTCAGTCTGCTAGATTCAGAAAGAGAGAGGAATTAAAGAAGGGTTATTTCGTGTGAAGGAGATGAGGTCTTTCGCTACTGGGATTTTCGGGTATTGGTAGGGTGTGAAGGAGGCGTTGTGTATTTTAGGAAGGGCCAATGAGGCTTAGCTTGAGAGAGAGGGAGTGGCGAATGGGGAAAATGGGATTAGGTAGGAGAGCATGCGTGTGAGATTTTATTATTATTATTATTATTATTATTTTATTATTCTTTTAATGTGAGGCGGTGAATTTTGATTAGAGGAGTTGGGCGGCAAATTTATGGGTAACACAGGCTAGACAGGAATGGGCGGTGGTTTTGGAAGAAATTAGTTTTAATTATATTAATAACTTTTTTTTTAAAAAAATTCGATTAATATGTCGTTAATCTGTGTGCAAATACCCAATAATATGAGTACCATTCTTAGGTAAAGTCGACGTTGTGGATGTGCACTGCTCAGTTTGTTTTTCCATTGAGGTCATTTGGATGAATTCAATGATTATTGGGATGATTTTTGTGTGCGTCATGTCGGCAACCTGCCTCTTTCGCCTTGCTCGCTCACTTTGATCATGGAAGACCCGTTAAGAAATTTCAACCTCCTGATGCCCTTGCGCGATTTATTTTAAAAAGGAGGTAATTTAACCAAATTAGACTTTGGTGATGTTAATTAACTTTTATTTTTGAATCGTTATGTTTGTTGTTCACCATTCGTCTTACATCCGGTCGATTTGACCTGTGAAATGTATATTGCGATTATCAGTGATGTGTAAAGAGTTACTAAAAGTGAGAGCAATAAAATAGAAAGGGCAATATTAAATGATTTACACCACAAAATAGCATAAAATTGTTGGCATAAGTATAGTGACATTAACATTCAAGAATAAATATGAATAAATAAGATGAACTCAATAAATTTAGGCTATAAATTTTGGGCAATATATTTTTAGGCAATTTGATATCCAATTGACTTACATACTCAATTTCTACATGAACTCGGATTATAATACTGTAAATGCCATCATATGTTCAACTCCTTTTCTCCCTTAAGTTGGTTATTTAGCATGACTGACAAGAGCACCTATTGTTTATTCCACAGCAAATGCACCTAACAAATCAAGCTTTGCCACACAAAGCTCCATCAAGTTCTAATTAGACTTAGCACATCTCAAAAGGTACAAAATAAAACCAAAGTGCTCCAGCACTATCACTTATGAATTAACACAACACAATCTCTTACAAAATGATTGCTTGATATACAATAGAGTGAAATAAAATACACAAAACATTAAGAGATTGAATGTGAGAACCTTAATTGATGATCACCAGAAATATTTTCCCAATTGGCCTTATAATTTTAGCTCAAAATCTTAAAATTTGATTCCATGCACTTGAAATGGAGATGATTATCTACAAGCTAAGGATGAATGCTAAGGCAGCTTCTAAGGGCTCTTTATGAATTCTAAACTCCAATCAATGCAAAATAGCCATTGTCATATGTATGATCAGTTCAAATTCAGATGAATTTTATTCTACTCATATATATGATTTAGAAATTACATGTACAATTAACTCTATATATTCAAATCACTCTCCTATCAGATTTACAATGACCATAAAAGCTCCAATTGTATTTTCATGCTTACAATCCTAAATTGTATGTTATGATTAGTCAGAAATTCTCTCTCTCTCTACTGTGATTTCCTTGCTACCATGTCCCTAATCTTACTGAACATACCATGAGACTTCGCTCTCAGATTACTGAGTCATATGAATATCTTTGTCTACTCGTTGTAGGTGCAGGTTACTCCTACTCACCTAGCTATCATCATGGAATATGCCGCTGGTGGTGAGCTATTTGAGAGAATTTGCAATGCTGGACGATTTAGTGAGGATGAGGTTTTACATTTCACCTTATAATTATTCTGCTTCTTTTATGTTGTTTATTTGTTAAGCAATCTGTTGACTCGAGAGAAATTTTCTGCCTCAATCTTCTTGGTCATCAGGCTAGGTTTTTCTTCCAGCAGCTGATATCAGGTGTCAGCTATTGCCATTCAATGGTATTTTATCTAACTAATTGCATTTTATGTCGTTTACTTGAGAATTGAGATTAATTTTGCAATCTATCATTATGTAGGAAATTTGTCACCGTGATCTTAAACTGGAGAACACACTATTAGATGGAAGCCCCGCACCACGTGTTAAAATATGCGACTTCGGCTACTCGAAGGTGTTCTCTCACATTCTTACTCCTCACTTTTGGGAAGAGTAAAGTGTCATCAAAATAGTCCTCCGATTATTTATATTGTCATTTTAATCCCAGAGTCTATAAAAAATATCAAATTAGTCCCTATAATATTTTAATATTGGCTAAAATAATCTACATGGGGGACTATTTTAGCCCCTTAAAAGAGTCAGAAGATTCAATTGACACTTTTATAGACTCTAGGACTAAGATGACCCCCTACATTGACTCAGGGGACCATTATGACACTTTTCTCCTTCTGGCAAACGTTTTTCTTTTATAAACAGCCAGCTTGGTTCTCTGGAATGTAGTCTGCTCTGTTGCATTCTCAACCCAAATCAACTGTTGGTACTCCAGCTTACATAGCACCAGAGGTTCTTTCACGGAAGGAGTATGATGGCAAGGTGCTCTTTTTAAGATAATTTCTGTCGTCTCTTACTTCACTTTTAATGCATTCCATTTTTTTAAGTTATAAAATTGAATTCAGGCAGTTTCTTCTTTTGTAAACTATCAATTAAGTTTACACAATCAAACAATGAGTGATTTTTCTGTTTGGTGCCATTTAATTTTTCCATTACCTGAGCTCCAAATTTTATTCTAACTCAGATTGCCGATGTTTGGTCATGCGGTGTCACACTTTATGTGATGCTGGTGGGATCATATCCATTTGAGGAACCCGACGATCCCAGAAATTTTCGAAAGACAATTAGTGTAAGCCTGCAAATTCTTATTTTCACTCTTCGTAGCCCAACAGTTGAATTGGTGTTGTGTGACAGCGAATCCTAGCAGTGCAATACTCCATTCCTGAATATGTTCGAGTATCTGCTGAATGCAGGCAACTTCTCTCTCGCATCTTCGTTTCCAACCCTGCCAAGGTATTTATCAGCTCAAAATCTCCAAATCTCCTTCTTTCTCTTCTTCTTCGTTGAATTGAGAAAAGTGTTAAAATAGACACCTGACTTTTTTTTTTAGAGGTCATTTTAGTCCAGAGTCTATAAAGTGTCAATTTACTCCCTAGATTTTTTTACTATGGAAAAAAAATGTCTCCCTCTCATTATGAGCCTGAGGATTAATTTCGCATTATGATAAACTCTGGGACTGAAGTGGCCCTCTGCAAAATGTCAGGGCACTATTTTAGCACTTTACTCTCATTGAATTTGAATGTGCTGAAATCATTCTCATCTAAGCATTCTTTTTCATGAAGAGAATCACAATTCCTGAGATAAAGAAGAACCCATGGTTTCTTAAGAACTTGCCGAGGGAGCTCGCGGATGGAGAGAACGGCGAGAAAGCATATCATGATAATGAGATGCAGAGCGTCGAAGAGATAATGCGAATCATTCAAGAGGCAAAAACTACAGGTGTTACTTCCCATTCGATAGAACAATCTGCAGCAGGACTAGATGATACCGATGCGGATACTGAAGAAGTTGATGATAGTGGTGATTTCTTTGCCTTCATTTGAACAAAGAATTTCATATAACAAGAGGAGGAAACCACGCACAGAAGCAAGACTGATGGTGCAGAGTAAGTGTAGATTCGAGCATCACAAATTCTGCATGGGTTGGTGTATTGTGCTTGTGTTTGATACTGTACAGTTGCTAAACTGATGTGCTGTGCTTGGTTTATTTATATAACTGTTTTATTGGATGGGTAATTATGAAAAGTTTAGTTGGTTAAATTCAAAATTTAAATGAGTTCACTCTTTTGTGTAATTTTGGTTGTGGATGGTTGCCTTTAGTTTGTCAATTGGGAAGAGGTTCGTTCTGCGTAGTACTGTGGCATCTGCTAATTTTTAGTTTTTGGGAGATTTACATACAACCACACAGTTTTTATGTACTTACATAACAGACATCTAAATTTTGAATTTTATTTATACAATACTTATATTGTTATAACCACATCTAAAATATCATCAAACGAGCTTGTTTATATGTATATATACATTTTCATACATAAATTTTGATGTTATTTTGACACTAAAGCTTTATAAAAATAAAAAAAATCAAAATTTTATGTGTTAGATATTTAAATACATAAGACTTGTGTGGTGTGTTTGTATTCCTCCAGAATCCAAGTTTCATTTTAAGTCCTCGTTCAATCACCAAGTATTAAAGAGATCCTGGAGACTCTCCTATATCTTTTACTTGATTTACCCGACTAGCTACAAGAAATGATATTTATAAAATAATTGGGATCTCAACATTCATTTTTCTTCATATCTAATATAATAAAAACCTACTTGGAAGATGAACTTATGAACCTTGATTATGAAATTTTGTAAACTCCCTAGGAATAGTTAGAGAGAATGGCCAGCTGATTAAAGGGACTAAAGTAGGTTGAAGCTTTTTTGATCCTAATCTCTCATATATTGATAAAGGCATTTATGCGTACTCTGCAAACTCCCAATTCACACAATCTCTTTCCCATAAATTGGTCTCCTACAAAAGATGAAACGACAAAACTACCCAAATCTTTCAATTTTAATGAGACTTTTTCTTTAAATTATAACACTACAATTCTTTCATAAATTTCATATAAATGGACATTTGTTCACGAGCTTCTGAAAATGAGATGTTACTAGTGAACTTCTTGAACTCTTCTAGGAATTTAGAGAATTGTTGGTCCAGTTTTTGCCTTACTAATCTCTGAGAATAAAATTAGTAGAGATCTCTCAAGTTATTTCCTAGGATGTGATCGTGATTTTTGTAAGTATTTTGAAGTTTTTTCAATATGTTTCTTAGACTTAAGTTCTTTTAATCTAGCTTTCTCTATGATCACTCATTCTAACCCCAAAATTTAAAGTTTAATGGATTTGTAGTGCACTTTATCTTAAAACTTAGGATTAACCTCAGTGTTGCTACATAATGCCCCTTGGTGTATATGACTCAATAAGTTAGCTAACTGCCCTAATTGTGCCCTATGTCTCTTTCGTCTATAGCTTGACTCTATATTTGATTTTCTAGTTGCAACACTAACTCTTTCAAAAATTTATCTTCTTCAAATTAAGTATTTGATATGAATTCAAAATAATAATTAGGTATGAAATTAGAGAAATTACTATCATGATTGTGTAATTGTTGCGAGATATACCAGTTGATGTGGTATATATATAAATCAAACAGGAGAACGATCGACGAAGCAAAAAATAGAACGAGAAAAAATCACACCAGAAAAGAACACACAGATTTACGTAGTTCGGCGAATTGCATACGTCCACGGAGTTGCAGAGGATTTTATTACTAGAGAAATTTACACCAGTCGATCACCTTGACTTACAAGAGGAATCTCTCACTCTTCGTTGCTCTCTCTCTTCTTTTTTCTCTGTTCTTCTCTCTCTATACCGAGATACACCGAAGAAAACTCTACACCGAGATAAACCGAAGAAGACAAACTTACAAAAGAAATAAACTCAATGTCTCTTCCGCCACAAGCTAACAAGAAGAAGCCTACGAAGTAAATAAACTCAACGTCTCTTCCGCCACAAGCTAACAAGAAGAAGCCTACGGAGAACGATCTTCTTCTTCTTCCTTCTTCTTCCTTCTGCTGCAAGGAACTGCTCCTCCTTGCACTTCTCTTCCTCTGCCCCGAGGGAACCTTCTTCTATCCCGAGGAAACAGAAGAAGAACTCAAAGCGTGACTACAAAACCCAAGGAGAGTCATCCGAAGCTTTTATCACAAACGTGAGGGAGAGAAGAAATGTTTCACTTCACAAAAGAGGAAGACGAGAGTGGTTATTAGAAGAAATGTTTCACTTCACAAGAGGAAGACGAGAGTGGTTATTTATGAAGAGGTGTGACTCTCCAAAGTAAAGTAACCGCCCAAGCATAGTGGACCAGGCTCCACCGTTTCTAACAGATTGTTCAGTTTTTCTAGGGTATTTTGTTGGTTATCAACATGTTGCTTTTTTCCTATATTTTGAATGTTATTCCAATTAAATTATGGTGATTTTTCTAACTAAGATTGTCCATAAGAATTTTAATCATTCAGTAGTGATCCTGGTGCAGAATTAAATCCTGAATTGTCCATCTTCTTAGATATAACAACTACATCTGTAATTAAGAGTGACAATATCTGGTGCTTTGATATCTCCTCTAATATGTTTTTAAATCTTGTGGGTTTTCTGAATTATTTTAATTGTTTTTTTCAATCTCAAGGTCAAATAGTTTTAGTTCAACATAAGGAATCCTATGCACACACAATTAGGATTAACAAGTAACCCTAAAGGAACTGATGCAAAGATAAGTGATCATAATTTACTGGAAACACAATAAAGCAAAAAAATGTGTAGAAAACAAAAATAAGAAATCACAAAATGTAATTTTTTTTTATTTCTAACATAGAGAACAACAAATAAAATATGAATAAAATACAACACAATAAATTTCAAGTTCTAAGTGTTCAAGATAAGGAATCCCATGCATACACAATTAGGATTAACTAGTAACCCTAAACTAGCAGATGACAAAGAAAAGTGATCATAATGTACTAGAAACACAAAAAAAAAAGATGTGTAGAAAACAGGAATAAGAAATCACAAAACAAAATTTTTTTTGAATTTTCTAACCTAGAAAATAAGAAATAAAATATGAATAAGATACAAAACAATAAATTTCAAGTTTAAACACTAATTGTTCAACAAAAATTCTCTTGTAGTGGAAATTAATGTTGTTCCCTGACAACAAAGCAAAAAACTTGATAAGTCTGGAATACTGTGAAGCATCGACAACCACACAAGTATATGTGTTAATCAAGTAATATACATATTACAAGTCCACATACTGATTACACAAAGAACGAATTAATTTTCTAAAATAGGAAAATTTATGTCTAGCTTGAAGAATTAAAGTTTGGTGAATTGTTTAAATGACTAAGCTTATTTTGCAAAGATTTGAAACTTACTAAATTTTAGGGTTTAATTGAGGAAACCTCCAGTGAATTGAACCTAACAATCTAGCCCTATCCAAGTGACTCCCATGTTATTAATAACTAGGAAGAACAATATTCTTTAGCCCCTTACAGTGGTCTTAAGAAATATTGATGTTTCATACTACAACTAATTCCCTAATTATGTAAAAACTCTCGTTTTCTATATTTCCTATGCGCTTGCACTGCTCTAGCAGCAAAATTCATGTTCTCCTAAAATAATCTGTTAACCTAATCATTTCGCAAGCCTACCCTCGTAGTACTAAATTACAATTCGTTTTAACAATCTAAATGTTAATTTTATATGTAAATTATGTGCAGAAGGTTAAAACATCAATTTTCTACTATAAAGAACTCAATCATCATTCAAGGATAAAATTAAATTGCATAGATTACTAATGAGAGTTAATTTTACATAACTTCATCTACATTTTACCCTGTATTTTACCTTTATTTTATTGATGTTATCATAGGTCTACACTTGAGGAATGTTTTTATTGATGTTGTGCAAGTTATAGGAGTTGAATACAAGCATTTTGAAACAAGAAAAACCTATGTAAAAGCAACCTAAAACGGCATGGTGTGACCACACCTGAAAGAGGCGTGACCACGCCGACCACATTAACTTTCAGCCCGACCACACAAATGGAACAGGAATTTATTTTGAAAAGAATTTTTTTTAACAAATTCATGGATTGAGCTATAAAGACATTCTTAAGGCATCTAGTGGGAGGGAAAGACCTGGAGACGGATATAGAGAAAAAATAAAAGATTTTGGAAAGTTTTCTTTTACGATTCTCTTCCTCTTTTGGGGTTGAGCTACTAAGGGGGTCTTTCTACCTTTTACTTCGTAATTTCTTACATATTCTAAGAGGTTTATTGTATGGGAGAGGAATTGGCTGTTGTGAAAGAGAGAAAAAAAGATTTTGTATTTTTTTTACTTTCAGCTTTTACTTACAATCATAACTTCAAAGGAATTTTTTTCCTACATTCTTTCCAACATGCATAACTAAATTTCCTTTCACGCTTACTGTGATTCATGGTATGTGATTTTTGTGATTTTATCGGATGTTTATTTCTCTATATCATTTTCTTGAGGAATCAGGGTTTTTCATTGTCGTGTTAACCATAGAATTTTATTTAGTCATGATTTGACTAATTATGATATTAACATATTTTATGATCTGTGAATCCTGCCCATTGCACAAAAGAATGAAATAGTTAACCACAAAATTCTGGTAACAATAGACATATTTTATACGAGTTTTGCAACTTAGAAATGGGATCAGAACTTATATGTGGGATGCCACGAGAATCGATGAAGCCTCAAATTCATGGATTCTAGCATTCTTTTGACTAGGCATAGACATAAGGAGGATTTTTTATCCATGTTGACAACTATCACTTAGGGGAATGTCTAGAAAAATCACAAACCACTACATCACCTAAATCCCAAAGACACAAGCTTCACATTTCTTGAAGAATAGTAAGATTTATCTGCCCCTATTTTTCATCTTTTCAAACTAGTTATCTTTGGTTTTGCTTTTGATTAGGATTGTAGAAACCCATCTAAGCTTGGATGTATATCTTTGAACAAGTTCTTTCTGAGCTCTCCTATTTTGCACTTTTCTTTGTCCTCAACCTTGTCTGTTTCCATGTGTCTTTTTCCGGTCTTGTTATGGTGTTGCTTGCACTTTATTTGACCTATGTAGCTTAGTTCTTTGTGTGATTTTTTTGTTAATTTTAAATTAAATGTTGGGCTCGGCCCTCGTTTACTCAAAAGTAGTGGTGTCGACAAGACGAACAAGTTAGAGCCCGGCTGAGTTTGTGTTTGGCTCATTAAAAAATGTCATTTTTTGTGTTTAGCTCGTTTGCGTGAAGCACCGAAAATGAGTTGTTTGCAAACAAAGAGTCGTTTTGACAACCTTAGTCACATAGCGGTTTGATGTTTAGAATTAGAACGAGATTTAAATTTTATTTTTTATATTAAAACATCATTTAAATATAAATTAATGTATTTTTATTTTATTTTTAAATTAATATTTTTAATTGATTATAAATTTTTGTTGCCTAATTAATTTTTTTAATTTATATATATATATGATTATTTCAAGCCAAGCCGAGCACAAATGAAAAAATCCTTGTTCGTTGTTCAGCTTGTTTATATATCGAGCGCAAAAAAATTGTTTGTACTCGGCTTGTTTGCTTAGCGATCGAATCAAACACAAGCTTCTTAACGAGTCGAACGCGAACTGTTCACGAACAACGAGCGACAACCCTACTCAAAAGAATAAATAAAAAATGGATAATGACACACATACCGCCTTATAGATTAACCACCTAGGTGATTTTTTTTTTTTTTTTTAAACTACCAAACCAGCTATACGTGTGGCATTATCATATTATTAAACATCTGATAAAATGAAAAATATGTGTTGGGATTTTATCATAAATTTCAATACTTGAGCGAAAATTTGAAAACTTGATGAAAGATGATGGTTGATTTCTAAACAGGAAGTTCCGACTGCGAGGGGTCGTCATAGTTAGGAGGACTTGGCACCATGTCATATTTGTATTTCAAATTCGTCTGCAGAATAAAAGAAACGCGAAATTTACATCCATACCACAATCTTATCTATTTGCATATTACATTTGGTAAACCCATGCATAAAAATATGTATTTCACAAATAAAAACGTAATGGTAATGAAATTTTTTTATATAATATTAAATATTTGAAAGATATGAATCTAAATATGAATATTTAGGCGTTAGATATAGGAATAGTATGCCCCTTAGAAAATTATTTAATATGAATCAAGTCTGTCCTTTTCTTTGGTGTCCAGTAGGCTTCGGCAAACTACCTAATTCTGAATTTGGCTCATCTAAAAACAACTTCAAAGTTTTGTTTTTTTTGTTCAAGACTTGAAATCAAGGAATGAAGTAATAGGTTAAGTTTAGCTCAAATTAAATTTATATGCGGCGGCTTATTTAAGCGGAGGGAACGGAGTTGTTGCAGAGACCTTTGTTGTTTCATTGAAACTTATCCTGAGGAGAAAGGAAGAATTCGAGCATCTAGGGAACGGAGTTGTTGCAGAGACCATTGTTGTTTCATTGAGACTTATCCTGAGGAGAAAGGAAGAATTCGAGCATCTCGTCGCCGAAAAATGCTCCGGCGATCTCCGCTCCATCCGCTCCTGAGGTAATTGTTGCTTCAAATGCAGCTTATTTTAAGAGGAGAGGGAAAGGAGTTAGCAGAAAAGATTAGTTTTGAGATCTGCAAGTGATTGAAGCGTTCTACAAGTAAATAGTAAAGGATGGGAGTTAAATATGTAAATAAGAAGGTTTTAAGTGCTTAAATCCCCCATGTTGCAGTCATAAATGTAAATAAAAAATTTACTGCATCCAAATTAATTTCATTATTTGTTTTAAATTAGCAGGACAGATAAAGTCCAGAAGGAAATACAAAAAAGTTTATAGATTTATTTTTCAATTGGCGGCAGCTGTGCAATTTCTAGACCATAACCTGTCCAAAGTCAGAAGGAAATACAGCTGTGCAATTTCTAGACCATAACCTGTCCAAAGAGAATTGTATATATTTATAAAAAAAAACAGAAAGATTGACAGGCGAGTGGCAAAAGAAATTAGGAAAAATCAAGTAAAAGCCGCCATAAACCCTCTGTAGCATCTACCAAATAGTAAAATCAAGAAAAATTAGTTAATATTTAGCAATAAACCACTCAAATCCTATGTATTTACATATCTAACACCTATATTTATTTCATTTTTTATTATTATTAAAATAGTGATGTGATATAAAAATTTAGAATGGTATAAATATAAAAAACTGTGTAAATACATGGGAATTGGGTGTTATGTACGTAGATACCCCAAAAAGAATTCGGTCAGAAACTCGGGCAGAAATTTAGATCAATTTCCGGCCATTCAATTAATTCTAAAATGAATAAAATATAAAATTAATCAATTAAAATTTAAATTATAGTAATCTTCAAATAAATTGGTTATTTTGAAATTCATTCTCATGGTTTGCTCTCTTTTTTCCATAAAAAAATCCGTTCTGCATTCGATAAAGGGAGACTGGACCGTGAAGAAAAACAGAGCCAATAACGGATATCTCAGATTAGCTCCATGTGTATGCAGTTACTTAATTCTTAGATTAACTCTCTCATCCTCAAGGAAATACTGCATGTGAATGAGATGAGTGCGAATTGATAATATTTTGGTAGTATTATCACTACAATATCGCTAAAATATCACAAGCATAACACATATGTAGTATTCTGGTGATATTTATGATGACATTGTACCGTAATACCACCACAATATCACCAGAATACTAGCTTCTGCACCTACTTAAAGATCGGATGCCAAAATTAGCATGAATTGTAAATATAACAAATTGCCATCAAATCAATCAACTCCAAGCCTTAAAATCTCGTCGAAAAGATAATTCATCCAAAAATCTTGCTACTTTTTCTACCAAATTTTTTGATAAAATATTTGAACGTTGGCGGTAGCATTTTGGATGCTTCAACCTACCTTTGATTTATTTAACAAAAACTTGGCTTTCATGCCAGTATGGCGGTTTGGCCTCACTAAGCAGGGTCAAAGAGCTAATCACTTATTATATACATTTATATCCTTTGAACATTTCCTTGGAATATATTTGAAGATATAGCAAGCTCCAAGTACCTCTACCATAAATGCCAAGCTCACTAATGATAGATTTAGGGTTTTCTTTTTATTATTTATTTACTTTTTCAGGTGAGCACAACAGCCTGCTTGGGATTCTTCATTTTGTTTGGAGTTCGAGGACAATAGAGTTGGGGTTTTAATCCTAGCATGATCATGAAGGCAAGCTATGTATCAGGTTCTCATAAAAAAAAGGTACAGAACTTGCAGTTTACCTGATCATTTACTCGTGAATTCTGTTTGTTTGAACTGTGTAAGCTGTCCTCTCCATCTCCTGTTACAGTTAAACAAATCTGTCAAAATTATTATCGGACAATTCTCGTATTAATTTCTGTAAATGCTCCAATGATAGCCTATCAATTGTGCATAAGTTAAAACTGAATAGGAAAGCAATCTTTTCTATTTATAATGATACTAATCTGTCATTTCTATATGGATTACGCCTTCATATGGATAGTACTAGTTACTATAGAAAGGCAGCCCCTTCTCGGATACTTAACTATGAATATCCCTGCAAAGATTGATCAAGCAAGTTTCCATCTATAAACCATTCAAGCAAGTCAACGGAATATTAAAAATGTGAAGGATAAGTGATATTAAACATAATATTCCAGTAGCAGGCGTTGATAGATGGCCAATCCTTCAATCTACTGATTTTCTGACTATGAAGAACTACTTAATCTTTTAAAGGAATTTTATAAAATTTCTCATGTTTTGTTTTCTTTTTTCAGAATTTCCTTCTATATAAATAGCGCGCAAAGGAGGATGCCTTTCTGAGAGCTTTGCACTTTTTCAGCGACCATACATTGGGAATGACTGCCAAGGAGCGGTAAGTTAATCATATACAGTCAAAAGCCGTTTTAAACTTGCATAAGAAGAGTTATTTTATCCCCATCAATAGCCCAAATATGACTGTATACTGAATTTTGGTAGAGGTACTTGGCCTAAATGTTGGTTTGATTTATCTCCATCAATAGCCTAAATGTTGGGTTATTTTTTTGAATTTTTAGTCTCCATATCTCCAAATGACTGGCATGAGGTGTTAAAGTTTATTTGAATGAAATCTTCTAACACAACTTCTAATCATGGCGCACAAAAAGAAAATATTATGCTGGCCGTTAAAAAATTCAAACTTATCAGTTGTGGATTAAAAATAATGTGCGATATGCTTCAATAAACTTGAAAATAATATCAAATAAAGTAAAGTTTAGCAAAGTGCGAAAAAAAGTGTTGCATGCAGAATGTTAGGAGAAATATTTGTAAGCTTATATAAATCTAAAGCAGAAAGAGCTCAACTAGGGGTACTGCTTGCCACTTACTGTGAAGGAAGAGGTTTATATAGTCATTTAGTAAAAAGCTAAAGTGTGTGCTATTCCAACATTTCAGAAACCTCCCCAAATTTATACAAATCCCTTATACACAACTACTTGCATGGGAACTAAGAATGTCCTCTCCAGCTCCAATAACCCACAACCACCTGCCCTTGTTCTCCTCCATCCTCCATTCTCTCTCCCAAACTCCCTACAGACTCAGAAGAAGAATATTAGCAACATGGACCCCAGAACAAGAGCTCAACCAAGTGAGAGAAAGATCAGGAGCAGACATGAAGAAGAAGCTCGAATGGTATGATCTTGTGGCACTTGGTGTAGGGGGGATGCTTGGAGCTGGAGTTTTCGTCACCACAGGCCAAGTAGCCAGCAAATTATCTGGCCCAGCAGTCTGCATTTCCTATATTATAGCCGGCATCTGTGCTTTCCTTTCATCTCTTTGCTATACTGAATTTTCTGTGGAGATTCCAGTTGCTGGTGGTGCTTTTAGCTACCTTAGAGTAACCTTTGGTATGAAAAATCTAGTTATACAACTAATTTACTTAATCTTTTACGTTTTGGCTTAATTTTGAATGCCCTGGTTAATGTCCCAGGGGAGTTTGTGGGTTACTTTGGAGGAGCAAACATACTACTTGAGTATGTCTTATCCAACGCTGCAGTGGCTCGAAGTTTCACTGAGTATTTAAGTGCCGCCGCTGGTTTAGAAGATCCAAACTCATGGAGGATTGTACTTGGAGGCTTGTCTAAGGACTACAACAGTTTGGACATTCCTGCATTTGTTCTTGTTTTTCTTCTCACTTTATGCCTGTGTTACAGGTTAAACTATGTACCTTAACTTTAAGGTTTTGTTTGGTATTTTGTTAGTGCTGTCTACAGACCACTGTACTGTTTTAGTTTTTTACGCTTTACTTCTCTTGAAATTGCAGTACCAAGGAGAGCTCCAGGCTCAACCTACTTATGACAGTGTTCCATGTAATCTTCTTTGGATTTGTGATTGTTGCTGGCTTCTACAATGGAACCTCACAGAATCTTGTAAAGCCGAAAGGGTTCGCTCCTTTTGGTGTTAAAGGAGTTGTGGATGGAGCTGCTATAGTGTACTTCAGCTACATTGGTTATGACAGTGTATCAACAATGGCTGAAGAGATCAAACACCCCTCCAAAATCCTTCCTGTTGGCATCGGTGGATCAGTGCTCATTGTCTCAGCATTATACTGCCTCATGGCCTTATCTCTTTCCTCCATGATCCAATATGATAAGGTAACCCTAAACCAATCCCAATTTGCAATTGTTGCTGATTCTTGTTTTGTTGATGTTAGCTAACAATAAAAAGTTCAAATAATCATAAACAGATATCTGAGGTTGCATCATTTTCTTCTGCCTTCCAGAGTAAGGTCGGCTGGAAGTGGGCAGGAAATGTTGTTGGTGCTGGAGCCAGCCTAGGAATTGTGGCATCACTCTTGGTTGCCATGCTTGGCCAGGCTCGATACCTTTGTGTCATTGGCAGAGCTCGGCTAGTTCCGTCTTGGCTTGCTAACGTGCATCCTTCGACGAGGACCCCATTGAATGCGACTATTTTTTTAGGTAGGTGATACTCTTGCAATATCTTCTCGTTCAGAGAATAATGACGAAATTCAAATAGAACCATTCGACATATTCATTATTTTATGCAGGGATATGCACGGCATCCATTGCTCTATGTACCGACCTCGAGATCGTGCTCGAGATGATTTCTATTGGTACCTTAATCGTGTTCTACTTAGTTGCGAATGCGCTCATATACCGGCGATATGTGAGCCTTGGTGCAAACGAGCCACTTCCTATCCTCCTCTTCCTTCTGCTCCTCACAGCAAGCTCACTAGGCTTTTCTATAAGCTGGAAGCTTGGGAGAAGTTACTGGTGGATGATGTTATTGTTTGGTGGATTAACGGTGATGATTACTGCTTTATTTCAATGTAAAGTTCCCTGTCATCACCGTCCATTAAAGTGGTCCGTGCCATTGATGCCATGGCCAGCAGCAGCCTCAGTATTTCTCAATATTTTCCTCATGAGCTCTCTGAAGAAGAGGTCCTACCAGAGGTTTGCTGTGTGGAATTGTATGATTGTGCTGTTTTATGTACTGTATGGGGTTCATTCAACATTTCAGGCAGAAGAGGTGGGGATGGAAATGGAGAGGGAAATGGCTTTGGTTGTTGGAATTGAACCAAATTCATGTTCTCAATTGGATAAGTTAGAAGCATAGGTTTTCATTTTTTTTCTGCATATCATCTCACAAGTTTGCATTATTGGTGCGAGATGCATCCAATGTAGGCAACCGACATTCAAAGAATAAAATAACTTTTCTTTTGTAAGAATTATTTTTGCTGGTGCTGAGTATGAGTTAGATCTATCATAGTGAACAATAATTATTTCATTTATTTTAAGGGCATCTTTTCGATATACAAGACCATACACATAATATGAGAAAAGAAAAGTGATTTTTTATATTCACCATAGTTTTCTTTAGTCCCTAAAAGGAGAACCATCTTCCTCTTTTCTAATAAAAGCATTAGACTTACAGGTGGAATCTTATAAAGTATAGTGCTACTTTATATACTATTTATATGCTATAGATTGATTGCTTACTCCATTTCAAGTCATATTGTCCACTAAAAACGGTTCTTTCACTAAAAAAAGGTTATCCAAAAAAATTCCTGCCTTCAAGCTTAAGCCAGAACATTGGTGCTTATACAAAGATATGGCTGCACCTATTTACTCGATAACTAATTAGGAGGAATGTATGTATTTTTTAATCCCTGCAGCATCTTAATCCAAAACCCATAAGAAGATAACCTCCAAGAGATGTCTATTTTTTAAGGATCAACTATTCTCATTTTGAGTTAAAGCAAGATTTTTTAAAGCTTAAAGTACCTCTTCGTCCCGTACCTTGCAGGGCCTTTTGCAAAATAGTTCATTATTAAGCATCATCAAAATATCCAATCATAATAATCTCTTTAACTTTTTCTTTAAACTCAAATTAACAAATTTTCAAATTATATAGTGTAACATTGTGGCGACCAGTTTAGTGCCGTTGTACTAATAAAAAAATCATCTAAGAGAATCACATAAAGAACCTAAATTTTAATGCAGTTGATGCTTGGACCAGGCAACCATGACTGAAATTTAAAGGAAATTTTAATTTTCTATTCTGCAAAGAGAGAGTTTCCAATGGAGATGTGCCCTCTAAAGATGTTTATAATGTAACAAAAAAATTTAAAAAAAAAAAACAACTTTAATTGTGGAATGTTGTTTTGCAAAGAGAAAGTTTCCAATGGACATGTGCCCTATAAAGATGTTTATAATGTAATAAAAAAAAAAAAAAAACAACTTTAATTGTGGAATGTTGTTGAATAATGGCATGATTCTTTCATAAAGATATTCTGAATATTTAAAAGCGTAAAATTTTGCAAAAGAGAGGATTCTCAATTTCAAATGTAGGCAGGAAGCTCCATTAAAAAAACTAAGTAATTACATGGCATATGATACTAAAAGAATATGAAGCTAACTATTTATAATACTTAATATACATACATACACAAACACACAATAATTAAGTTTTTATTCATCTGTATGCTCCGTCAAATGGAGCTCCGCTGGGATCATCCAATTTGATCCTCAGTGTAGTTAAGTGAGTGGTAGAAATGGTTTGTTGACAGCATCCACTAACTAGGCTTTGGACATGTAATTACCACACAAACGGCATCATTTTTGAGTTCCTTACAAATAAAAAGATAATAGATAGCCACATTTTTTATTCATCAGTGAAATACATTATTATTATAAAGACGAGTAGCACTCACATTGTCACCATAGAAAACTAGATAGCAAGTTCGGTAAGCAGAGAGCAAATCCAACAAAAAACAACATTTGAAATGGCAACCAGAAGTATTCAATCTTGGAAGAGGCGTGGGCTACAGTACTTTGTTTCTTGACACTCAAAGGTATAGAGTTTCGGCCAAGATACATAATGTAGATACCTATGGAGATGCAGCCATCTTTGTTACCTATCCACTTCGGATTCAGAGAATGCATGAAGTTAAAGCAGTGTCATGATGAAAATAGTGTTGTGATCAATAGCACCACCAAAAAAGTGGATTAGCCAATTTTCTGCATTCCAATGACTAATAATCTGAGTGGTGAATAAATCAAAACAGTTTGTTAACCATGAAAACAATATTTGGGTACATAAGAGCTAAGAATTATAGATAAACTCTAATATTAGTCAGATTAGTGAGTGTAGATCCACAGTCAAAAGTGAGCGCTGGTGAGGCATTAGGTTTCATTACAAGATTGGTATTCATGATTATAGTGTGAGCAAAGACACCAGGGATTGAGATAAGGAAAGTTCATTTGGTGTATAATCGCATCTACATAAAGAAAATAATAAAATGAACTAAGATAGGAAAAAAAGAACGATAAAATACTACAAAGTGGACAGTTATCCATAGTAATGATATTATTAGTATAAACTAGATAGATAAGAGTATCAACAATGTTGAGGCATAAAAGAAATGTTTAAACTAGAGAATTGGTGAAGCCAACAAAAAATGAGAATTTGTCGTAGCTTATGGTAGTATGGTAGCAGGCAATGGTTGTTTGCTTGAAGCCATAAATGACTTTGCAAAGCTTGCACATATATAGAATGATCTATGTCAATGAAGTTTGGTTGCTAGGCCAAGTATGCATTCAAGAGAGATGGCCTTAAAGTAAGGCATAACTGATGTTGGCATCACTTTTCAATGTCATATGTGTGGGGTGTCCACTCGAATGATATAGTACTGTGTTCAATCTCCCTTAGTCCAAGACACCCATTTGGACCACTTGGTACTTTTCTTGAGCACGGAACTAGGATAGGTACCGATTTAGACCCTACCCGGGAGAATTCACCGTTGGGCGACGACGGTTCTAACACTAACTTAATGTCTAGCAGTAAAAAAACTCTCTAGAGCACATTTCGGGAAAACTGGGGTCCATACCGACCCACATGTGCGGTGGTCTGGGACAACTGTCGACGACACTAAAATCCCCAGTTTAAAATTTCTAGAATATTCATTTTTGAGTTACGAGGTTATATTTTAGTAATACGTAGCTTTCTGTTGTAGCTTTTTGTAGCTTTCGGATTGGTCAAAACATTCCTATGGACATCCCGACGCAAAATTGAGATTTTAACCCTCGGGGCCGTATTCGACCCCTGGACAGGATTTTCGCCCAATAAGGCGCACCCCTGATGTTCATATAGATGTTGGAGAGCCCTTTTTCACTTCTAGATAGTCTCTGGTAGTTAAGGAGAGGCAATGAGTAGAATATTAGCACTTGGAGGGGACAATTTAATTGCAAAATTTATAATTTGGTGAAATGAAATGCTTTGCGTTTTTGAATTGTAAAAATACACTAGGTTATGAAACTTTTCCTTAGAATTTGTGATTTATAAATTAAATCAATGGATGAATTTCATTTTGTGTTGAAATTCTCTATTTATTTGTGTTTTATCCCGTTTTTAGCATTTAGTGGAGATCATACCTTTGTTTAAAATAAATCAAGATTAATGATATCAGAAGTTAAAGTCATATGGCGCGTTTGGACAGCGGTGAGGTGTCACACTATAACTTTTTCTGTTTGACAAAATAGTATTTTGTTTGTTTTTTTCAAAAAAATGTTGTTGAAAATTGTGTTTTATCAAGTGTGGTGGCTACTAGAAAGCTACGTCCTGAGTTTTTTCAAAAAAAAAAAAAAAATTGTAATTGCCACCATAGCTTTTAAACAACAGTTTTTTTTTGTAGAAACTTTACAACCGCTTCTTCAAACAGTTATAGCTGTCCCAAACAGACCCTTAATCTATACAAGGATAACTCACAACTATGATTTAGAGGAATAAACCTATTGTTCCTAACTTCTAGCAATCGCTTAAAGAATTTTGGGAAAAAACAATTTTTGAAATCACTAAGAAAATAGAAATACTGCCTTGGGATTTTTAAAATTACGTTTTAAGCTATCGACAGAGGCTTCAAACTAAATTTGCTCATGATGGACAATAGCTATTGCAAATAAAATGAATCATTTCATTTAATGTATGAATTGCAAATTCAAATCTTTGATTTTAATTTAGTAATTTTGATAGTTTAAGAATACATAAAACTCATCTGCCAAAAATTTTATTTTTAATAGAAGATAGGTTTTGAGAGCTAGTGCTTTAAGTCAAATTCGAAATCCAAAGTAAATCCTTGTGGGAACGATCTTAGACTCAATCCATTATATTGCTTACATGACACGTCCATTTGCGTTAACTTGTGCAAAGTCGGGTCATAAACCAGATCATAACTTTTAGAGTGGCAATGTCAATGGGTTGATTTAAAGTGTGAGCTTATGAAAAAAGAGTTGAAGGCATCAAGGACAATTGGAAATGACTATAAGTATGGAGGAAAATAAAATGAGTTAGCCTGAAGGCAAAAGAAAGGAAATGGGGTTTGTATAACTAGCACTCTCACCAACAAATGCCAAAAAGTTTAGGTGCCAAACTCTCAAAACAAAAGATTATCATTTTATCCTAGAAAAGGGGCAAGTTATAGCCATTACAATCACCCTTAAAAATAGATTCAAAATATGGATGAAAAGATGAGAGGCAACAGTCATAAGATGCCTTAACTTACCTTGTCATATTAATTGCATGCATAAAATTTTCTTACAATTTTAAACAAATTCATTCACTTTCCATGTAATACATAAATGGTTGAAGTTAAAATTTTAAAATTCAAAACTTGGGGTTTACAACAACAACAAGCCTTTATCCCACTAAGTGGGATGGGCTACATGAATCCTTTTTCTCCATTGCGTCCTATTAAGTGTCATATTTTCATTTAATTCTAATAAATTAAGATCATTTTTTGTACGATATGCCCAAGTCTTTCTAGGTTTACCTCTGCCGTTTTTAACATAAGTCGAATCTAAAACATCTATTCTCCTAACCGGATCATCAAATAGCCGACGTTTGACATGACCAAACCATCAAAGACAACTCCGTCTAATTTTGTCTGTCAGTAGAGTTACACCAACCCTATCACGAATATATTCATTTCGCATTTTATCTCTTAGTGTAAAACCACTCATCTACCTAAGAATTCTCATCTCGACAACACTTATCTTAGTTTTATGCTTCTCTTTTAAAGGCCAACATTGGGCGCCATAGAGCATTGCAGGTCTCATCACCATCTTATAAAATTTTCCTTTCAGTCTAAGATGTACTTTTCTATCACACAATAGGCCCAAAGCATTCCTCCATTTTAGCCAACCAACATGAATTCTGCCAATAACATCCCCATCTATATCCCAATCACTTTAAACAATAGAACTGATATATCCAAAGCATTCACACCTTTTAATGATTTGATCACCCATAATTATAACTTTGTCACTAGAGCTACTACTACTAAAATTACATTCAATGTATGCAGTTTTAGTTCTTGCATAATAAAATATGCTCGTAATGTTGGAACCCTTGCTTATTTTACACTACACCC